CACGGCTGTGGCAAAGTCTGGAAAAGAATTAGCATCCCTAAGCCATTCTCCCCTGCTTTTTCTTCATAATATTTCCATCTTTCTAGAGAAATAGAAAGCTTCATTAAGAAGAAATGTACCAGACACATTGGGAGGCTGAGGCAGGAAAATTGCTTCAGGCCAGGAATTCAAGACACACCTGGGTTACATAGTGAGACTCTATCTCTACAAAAAAAAAAAAAATTAAAAATTAGGCAAGCATGGTTTTAAGCACCCGGTGCCCTAGCTACTTGGGAGGATGAAACAGGAGGATTGATTAAACCCAGAAGTTCAGGGCTGCAGTAAGCTATGATCAGGCCACTGCACCCCAGTCTGGGTGACAGAGTAAGACTGTCTCAGAAAATAACCACAAGGAATTTATCAAGGGAAATCAGACCTAGTTGACCAAAAACAAAACAAACAAACAAAAACACACAAAAAACTATAGTTATGAACAGATTCATATTTTGAAAGAAAAATCAGGAAAATTATATAGCATTACTGTAAAATCCATTCTCATAGATTCAAATCAGTGGAAAGACTGATTTTTTTTTAAGATTAAGTACTGGGGCAAAGAGCTGGAAATTTAAATTAAGAAGTTTTATTGTGAGTTTATAAATCTGAGAAACTAGAAAATGCCTTTTATGAATTAAAAGGATGAGAACTTGGTTTTGAGGTAGAGGTGTTCAACTGAGGTTGATCTGGACAAAATGTAGCAGGATAGAAGACGTGGCAATAATGCATAAATTTGACTTTTGCTCTCAAAAATATTTGTTTTCTGTTTGGCAACTCTTGGCATCTAATTTTAAGAGAAGAAAACGTCTCAAATGCAGAAATGGCAGTCTAGCAGAACTACCCTTTGGATGTGCAGCATCGTAGGAAAATATCTTTTACAGAACACTTATTTATGCAAAGAATTTGATTTGAAAATGCAGCACAAGTCTGTGGGTCCATTCGAGGTCTGTTTATGTGTCAATGAAGATTTAGAATGAGTAGAGAAGAGGTACACTGCATATTTGTTTATTGTCCTGTCAGTGTGTGTCTGAAGATTCTCCATAGATCCTGGAAATATCTCTTCAAGTCCTTTATTGTCAAATGCCTGCTCCTCACAAATTTCAGGTCTCCCTACAACAGAGAAAAAAACCCAGGAATTATTTTATTATTCATAAGGCCATGATTCTTCAGAACCTGTTCTAACTAACATAATATATCTTTTTGCCTCTGCAGTTCCCTAATGCTACTTTAAAAAAATTAGATTCGATGGTACACAAGCATATTTGTTACATGGACATATTGTATAGTGGGTATTGGGTCTCAGGTGACCCATTCCCTTGATAGTGAACATCGTGTCCCATAGGTAGTTTCTAAACCCTAGGCCTCCTCCCCTCTCTCCCCTTATTGGTGTCCCCAGTATCTATTACTTCCATCTTTTTGTGACCATCTAGCTCCCACAAGTGAGTGAGAACATGTGGTGTTTGGTTTTCTGTTTCTGAGTCAATTTACTTAGGATAATGATCTTCAGTTCCATCCATGTTGCTACAAAGGACACGATTTCATTCTTTTTCTTTAACATATTTTTTATTTTAAAATTGTGGGGTACAGCTAAGGGTTAGGTATACAAATATGCATCGTTCAGACACCCTTGTTGATAAGGGGTGTCTCCCAGTCACGAGACAGATATTGACTACCATTAATCCCACCTCCCTTCCCCTCCCTAGCCCCCCATAGTTTCCCACCACTGTCAATTCTTTTCTTATATTATTTGATAGATGTTCAAGGTGCACTATATGAGTGAGAACATGTGATACTCAGATCTTTATTTCTGTAAGAGATCACTCAGTATTATAGACTCTAGTTCCATCCAGGTTGCTGCGAAATTCATGATTTAGTTCTTTTTTATGGCTGCATAGTATTCCATCGTGTTTATGTACCACATTTTTTTAATCCAGTCCTCTTTTGATGGGCAGCATGGTTGGTTCCAGGTTCTTGCTTTGTGAACAATGCTGCGATAAACATACGTGTGCAGGTATCTTTTTGATAGAGTGATTTGAGTTTTTCAGGGTATATTCCCAGTAGGGGGATTGCAGGGTCATATGGGAGGTCGATATTTAGAGCTTTTAGTAATCGCCACACTGCTTTCCACAGAGGTTGCACTAGTTTATACTCTCACCAACAGTGTAGAAGTGTTCTCTTTTCACCACATCCTCTCCAGCATCTGTTATTTTCTGAGTTATTGATAATTGCCATTCTGACTGGAGTTAGGTGGTATCTCAGTGTAGCAACAAAAAAAAAAAAAACAACAACACACACACACAAAAAGCAAAGTAGGAGGGATCACACTACCAGACTTCAAACTTTACTATAAAGCTACAATAATCAAACAGTTTGGTATTGGTTCAGGAACAGGCATATAGACCAATGAAATAGAATTGAGATTCCAGAAGTAAAACCTCAATTTCTCAACCAACTCATCTTCGACAAAGCCTCCACCAACTACCACTGGGGAGAGAAGAACCTATTCAGTAAATGATGCTGGGAAAACTGGCTGACTACATGCAGAAAATTCAAACAAGATCCCTATCTATTCCCATACATAAAAATTAACTCTAAATGGATCAGAGACTAAATGTAAAACCTCAAACCATAAGAACCTTAGAAAATGCAGGACACACCCTTATGGAAATTGGAACTGGCATCCAATTCCTGAACAAAACCCAAAATGCACGGGCCATAAGAGATAAGATAGACAAGTGGGACCTCATTAAACTGATAAGCTTCTGCAAAATCAAATAAAACATCAAGAGAGCAGGGAGACAGCCCACACACTGGGAAAAAGTATTTGCCAACTCCAGGTCTGACAAAGGCCTAACATCTTGGATCTACAAGAAACTTAAACGTGCTGAAAAGAAAAAAACAAACAACCCCATTATAAAGTGGGCAAAAGATATGAACAGACACTTCTCAAAGGAAGACATCCGAGCAACCAACAGACATATGAAGAAATGTTCAATCTCACTAATCATCAAGGAGATTTCATTCTTTTTATGGCTTCATAGTAGTCCATGCTGTATATATTCCTTTCTATGGAAAGAGGTATGGAAATTATTCAAAGAACTAAAAATAGATCCACCATTTGATCCAGCAATCTCACTACTAGGTATCTACCCTAAAGAACAGAGTCATTGTATTAAAAAGACACTTGCACCCACATGTTCATTGAAGCACAATTCACAATTGCAAAGATATGAAATCATCTTAATGCTAATTTTAAAATTACTGCTTCTATCATTATTAATAATGTTGCATCATTCTGCTACAATGAAGAATGGTTTCAAATGTTACTGCTAGTTGTTAGTGATGACCATAAATGTAAATCTTATTCAGAATATGACAGGAAATATGAATGGTAATTTTTTTCTGGTCATGCTAAATTTGTATTGGGGATTTTATGGAATAAAGGTTGAACAACACATTTTCTAACCATTTCTTGAACTCTTAGGCATTAAACATTGCCTTCCTAGAATGTGATCTATTTCAGTTTGACTGTTTATCTCCTTATCATGTACTACAACAAGACTGGAGAATAAAAGTACATTACAAAGTAAGGATAGTTTAGAGGACCCAATTCCAATTTTGAAAATTTGTTCCTGAGTCTGGTTCTAGGAATTCAACAGTTTTGTATATAACAGTCAGTGAATAATTTGCAAAGTTCTGGGTTGCTTGGTTCATCACTTAAACATAATGAGGCATATCACATTTCTTGTTTTTAATAGAATAACTTTCCTTAACATCTAAAAAACTGAGAAATTTAATGCTTATGAACTGGATGTTTTATTTTAATGTATCTTTACTGGATCATCATAACCACTACTCCTAACAATTCTGTTACTTCCAGATCTTAAAAAAGAATACCCAAAACAAAGCAAAGAAAAATATGTCTAGATCCTTTGCTAAACATCTCTATTTTATAACTATAGCTAAAATATCTTCTTATAGAAACATTCAAATAATTCATTATCTTATTAAAATGGCTTACTTTTTTTTTTTTTTTTTGAGTTGGAGTCTCACTCTGTCACACAGACTGGAGTGCAGTGGCAGCTCCCGGCCACCGCAGCCTTGACTTGCTGGGCTCCGGCGATCCTTCCACCTCAACCTTCCAAGTAGCTGGAACTACAGGAACTTGCCACCACGCCCGGCTAATTTTTGATTTATTGTAGAGATGGGGTCTTGCCAAGTTGCCCAGGCGGGTCTCGAACCCGCGGGCTCAGGCAATCCACTCACCTCAGCCTCCCAAGGCATGGGATTACAAGCTGAGCCACCGAGCCCGGCTGGTTTACTTCTTACTGTCAGTGTAATCACTTGGCATCTTGCAAATACAAATTGTTTGTCTGACTGTGTATGTTTCTGTGTGTTTGTGTATTTATTGTAAAATTTTCTTATACCTCAGTGTTTCTAAAATCTTCACTGCACATAAAACAGCAAAAAAACAGAAATGATGAAGAGGGTATTAGAAATAACCATAAATCACAGGGAGAAATATGGTCTAATGACTGAAAATAATAGATTAGGAGACCTGAATTTCTGTTGCTTTTTACATTCAGAAGTTTTTTTTGTTTGTTTGTTTTGCATAGCTGCTTAAGAAACAGGAACAAAGAAAGCAACAACAAAGATTAAATTCTCATATTTTCACTCCACAGACCTCCAGTAGGAAATTCCCAGTGGCAAGACATTTCTTAGATAACTAGTCATTAAAAAGATAATAATCTGCTAGGGATATTATAATCCTTTATATTCCCAAGTTGAAAGAGAGGGAATGCCCAGCACTTTTGCCCCAGGCACTGCTAAACAGGAGTTTTAACTTTTGATAAACATAAAAGATTAAATTCATATCACTCATGGAGAGAAATATAAAAAGATACACCCTCTACCTTTCTCTTATTCAAGGAATCCAGAATTGCTGCATTGGCTAACGATTTTCAATCATGAAGATTCCTGTTCTTTTTGTTTTATGTTTCTTTCTGTCCCCTTTGCCACCAGGTAAAATGTAAATATTAATTGAGAGGGGGGTCACATCTTTAAGGAGAGTTAAATCTTGGTTGATATCAACAAGAGACAGAACGGTGACCAAATTGTTAAGAGAGAAGTTTGTTACAGGCCCAAGAGTACATAACAAGGAAAGAACTTGTGATCTAACTAAAATATAAGGCTCCTGATGAGTCATATTTTTGTGGGAGACAATTTAAGGACTTGATCAAATGTTATAGGCTGCTTGTCTAGATTGACAAGTTGGATAAAATATTGAAGTATAATTACCTGGATACTTGAGAAATGAAAAATAGTGTTGTACAGTAACAGTGAGTTTTTTACTAACTTGATAGACGGCTATATTATGTTGCATGACTTACTTTGAGAATACTTAACATAAAATAGTATTTTCAACTGATAAATAATTGAAAATCACTTTAATGGCTCTATTATCTCATGTCCAGTTATGTAGTAATTAATATTAATCAGTTAACAAAATGAATATGACCTTTGGGGTTATGAATAACTAGGTTCAGATTTTGTTTCTGCAATATGTTGATAGTATCTATCTATCAGGCTATTTAACTCCTTTAGCGTAAATTTTCTCATTTGTGAATTAAATATAATATTTAAGTCTCTACCTCAGTACTATTATGAAGATTAATTATATATAAACATGCAAAATGCCTAAAGTATAATATATATTATGTTCCTCTTAAATGGTATTATAAATACTTTTATATCGTACCGAAACATATCAGAAAGAAAGTGGCCTCTAGATACCTCGTAGAGAAAGAAACTCTTCTTTGATATCTATTGTAAGAGAGAATGAGGGCAACATTTACCATGTTGGGCTTCACATACTTAAACTGAGTACCTCCTTTTTAAACTTTCATTGTACTCATTACTCTTAGGTTGGATCAATAGTCAAAATAAGCATCTTGATAGAGATGATTGAAAGATCTGTTTTGACACATTTCAGGCTACTTGAGCTTTAGAAAAAGCACATTTTTGCATGTATGCAAGATACTGCAAATAATTACTTCACACACAACCAGGAAAATAATTTCACTTACCTAAAGAAAATAAAACAATCAAACAAAGAATGGTGACACTAGGGTCTTCTGATTTAGGAGTGGTCTAGAACTTTAGTAGTTTACTCTTTGAATCCAACTCTATTACTTAGTAGCACAGATGAACCAAAGGCTCTAACAGTAAGACTAGCAGTGAATACATTTAAAAAACTTAAACACCAAAATATTTTTGATAAAGATTCAAATGTTTTAAATTCATTTATGATTAGAATACATTGTATCCGATGTTAATTATGAAGATTGTTGTATTACATCATTCTCGACTCTGGACAAATTAAATTAAAATCAAGATTTGTTTTTACTAGAACAAAGCAGGAATGATCTTAATATAGAAAAGACTATTATTTAGTATAAATACCTTTGAATAATAAAATATTAACTCCAATCATGTTATCATGATTTACATGTGTCCCTCATGTTATTACTTTTAAAATGTGAAAACCTCATGACATTTTCAGTATCTTTAGAAACCCAAGAGACATTGTGCATTTGTGTGCATAGTTTCATCTAAAAGTTGAAGATTTTGTGATTTCTTCTTGTGCATATTTATGAATTTTTATATGCTATAATAGCTATTATCTAGAGAGAAGCTATTTGTTGTTTCTGTTACTAGTGGAAAAATGCTAATTTAGAATTTCCACATAAATAATGTTACTCTTTTTCTCATACTGGTGCTTGACAGCTGTCATCTTGTATTATTTGTAAATTCCAATTAAGTCAACATACATTCTTCACAGTCCTCATGTAGGACAGTGTAATTTAAGGATGTATTTTTAAACTGGTGAGATAATATCTTTTCCCTCTGGCATCAAAGGCAATAAACAGCATGTCTCTAGACAATGCAAATAAGGAGGCATCATTAATTTATACAGTGTAAAACTGTTATCACGTGGCCTAAATATGGCACAATTTTTTTCATATAAATTAGGCTTAATTATTTTTCTAAAATACCTTTTTACCCAAAGTAACAGAGAGGTTATATGCTAGCACAACTTCATTGAAAGCAGAGGGCAAGAATATATCAAGTTATCAGTACCATCTTGGTTGGATCCTATATGTTAGGATCCTAGAGAAAGAGAAAAGAAGACTGTTCACATGCCTTCTCTACAGATGTCTGTTAATTTGTCATTATGCCTGATGTTTTGATTTTGGGAGTCTCCCTCTCTATGTAACCTCTTAAAAATGCAAATATTTCTTGAAAAGATGGAAGAGTATACCTTACACAAAGATGTGAATGAGTCCATCAGTTAGTACATGCTATGATAATGCAGGCTTGAGTACTTTATGTTGGAGAGGACTCTGAAAGAAGGAAACATAAGGAGATGCTGACTAATTTTGCTTCCTTTTTCTCTGTGTATATAAGTCCGGTCATTCAAGACAACACTAGTACTCCCTGCAAGCCAGTCTTCCCTGTCCAGGCTCAAATCTTTGTGCATAGTCAAATAATCTCTTTTATCCCGGTGTCTTCTAGGGTTTTCTTCAATCTTCCCAGAAAAGGGATACCTAAAAGTATTCAAGCAATTTAAGCAACATTAACTGATCTTCCCACTTTGAATTTTAGAACCAAAAATGTTTAATTTTTTAACTTATTTTGAAATTGGAGGGAAAAAAAAGTCTTTGTGAGTGGGTATTAGATATGTCTACTACCTTGAATGTCATGATGGAATCATGGATGTTTGCATATGCCCAAACTCATCAAATTGTACACATTAAATATGTGCAGTTTTTGGCTGTCAGTCACATGGCAATAAATCTTTTTCCAAAAAAGCAAGTTAGGTAGGTAAGTAGGTAGTTATAGAATTATGTGGTATCCATCCCAGAGCTATTTGGGCACTAACAAGGTTTGGTTATGTGGCATCATTTGAGGAACTAGGTTCTCATCTAAGGACATGAACATACAGAAATTCTCATGGAAAACTAAGCTTTAACAACTAGTGGAACCAATCAGAAGTTGAAGAAAAAACTGACAATTAAACAAAAAGAGTCACAAAATAATCATTGCCAGAAAAGCAACAAAACAAATGACTTCCCAAATTTCTAAACCAGGATACAGGAAAAACTTGTTTTTCCTCAACAACGAATTTATACCAAGTCAGAGTCTTAAGATATATATAACGACTCCATGGTTTTTATGTTTATATGTTTTTGTTTTTGTTTACTTTTGGCAGTGAAATGTGCCATGAAAGACACCTATAGTTGCTTTATCATGAAAGGCAAATGCAGACATGAGTGCCATAATTTTGAAAAGCCAATTGGTTTCTGCACACAACTAAATGCCAACTGCTGTATGTAGACGTTTAAAATAAAAGTCAGCATCCCTGAAATGTAAAGCACAGTGAGTACAAGGATTAAAAATAAATGAAACTGAATTAACAACTACTCCTATTTAGTCTGAGTTGTTTTCTTGGTTACTTGGTAGAATCATTTGAGGGACTAGATTCTTGTCTATGGATCTGAACATAGTGGGAGACATCCAACACACAGGGAAGATCTGTGGAAACATTTCATCATTTTTGACAACAATTTTCTACCAGTTGGCTGAAGAATGCTAAATGACACAAAGAAATTCTTATTATTAGGAGTCCTCAAGTCAAAGATATTCAAACTAATAGAAACATATTTCCAAATGAGGGAGAAGTTGAGAGAGAGCAGATGAAAGAAGCAAATAGAATTTTCATCTGGTCATGAATCAAGAGTTCTGATTTACTGCAAACAGAGAGTCATTGCATTAGTTTATTTCTTCACGTTTGTTTGGTTTTTGTATTTGTTCTTTCTAACATAAAGTTTTTTTAAAAGAGGTCATTTCTAGAAGTAAGGCATAGGTGTATAGCATCTGAAACAGGAAACTGGAGAGGTAAGATGAAAGAGGAAGGTATCTTGTAGCTAATATCTAGAGAATAGGAAACAGAATTCGGTGTGATGAGTATAAAAATCACTAAATTACTAAAATGGTTAGGAACTTTATAGTCATAGCATTCTTATAGCTTATACTAGTATATAGCTTTCAAATCACTTTGAGATACAGAAATGTCTTTAGATTTTCACAAAATTTATATAAGGTAATACTATGTCCATGAAACATAGAAGTTAACTTAGGGGCACAGACTTTGCAATCAAATTTCTAGACTTGTAGTTTTGCAGAGCAAGCACTGTGTGAATATTTATTAAATTAACCCAATGTGTTAAATAATGTTTAGAGAGTTTATGAGGTCATACAACCAATTAATAAATTAATTAGAACTACAAAATTAAGCTCTGTCTTACAATGAACACAATAAACTCAATTCTGAACACTTCCTTATTCTGAAATTACTGTAGGGAGCTAGAGGAATGGGGCAAGGTGAATAATGAGTTGAAAGAAGAGGTCATTTCTGAAACTAAAGAGAAGACCTAACAAAATGGGGATAGGCAACCAGGGAGGTTTAATTGCCTATATATTCGCATTTGACAACTATCACAGGTTAATAAGCCTGTGAGTTATACTTCTAATTAAATTGTTCTGGCATTCAAGTTATAGGTGATTAAAGTTTTATTTCTATTCTCTTTTATCATATTTTCTCACAAGCAAAACTTTCCAGATTAATTCTAGCAACTGAGAATTTTATAAGGAGATAGAAATATCTCCTCAAGTTTGTATAATTAGCTTTCAACCCAATTTTTTCTTTGAGTTTATAATCCAAAGTATAAAAACCTTACTCTCCTGTGGCCTATAGCATTAATTCCTAAATCTTTCATAAATAAAGACCACTTTTACTCAAAATGTCATAGTTCTTCCATAAGAGAGTAATTGCAATTGTGGGTTCTAAAGAGTTTAAGGAACTACAGTGTGGCCAGAAAATAATCTACATGTGCACACACATATGAGGGGGAACCAAAAAAACTCAAAATTATCTTTTGGAGTGTGGGCTCTTTGTAGTACACTCAGAATTTGTTTCTCTGGATCACATGGTCAACCAAAGTTTTTATCTGGAAATTTTGAGAAGGTTGCATAACTATTTGCAGAAGAAGCATTCCAAGTTATAGGAAACAGGTAACTGGTTTTTCCATTATGAAAACGCACCTGTCCTTATTGCCTAAGTGTTCAGCAGTTTTTGACTGAAAACAGCATTGCATCTGTGCCCCACCCTCCCTCTTCACCCAGTCTTTCTTACCTTAGCGACACTTTTGTTTGTGTGTTTCACCAGATGAAAAAAGCTCTCAAAGAACTTTACTGATGTGGAAGAGGTGAAACAAAATAAAACAAAAAAATGGCAGAGGCACCAAAAGGCCTCAAACTTGACAAGCAAAAACTGTTTTGAGCAGTAGAAAAAGCATCTCAATAAATTTACTGCATCAAATGGAGAGTACTTTGAAGGTGACTGATGTCTAAATATGTAAGGATAAATACACAACTTTATAAATAAATTTCAGGTTTTTGGGAGTCCCCCCCTTATACACCCATACATATGTGTGTGCATATTGAAAGACAGGTATGTATATATGTGTGTAGATAGATAAATATATACATACACAGATACACGTTAGATTTATTAATTATTTATGCTATAATATTTTGCGCATCTGTACTCACCAACCACTTCCAATCAGCTTCCTACTGGATCCTACCAAACAGGTTGGGAACCACTGACATAGATAATTTTGTAAATTGTACATAAACTCAATACGTCTCAACACCACAGTCACTGGAGTATATGAGTCAAAAATGTTGCTTTCTTAATCCTTATTATAAAATAATTCATATTCACTAAAGTTCATCAGCACTATGTCTTGTTCAACTAATCAGCCAAGGTTACTCTATTCCAGTTCTGATGTAATAATACATGCACATTATCATAAAGTTGGAGAAAGTCACCACTTAACTCAGAAACTGACTACCTTGCTGTGGTTGCTGTGGATCCAGAAAATTCTTGTCATAGTGGTTATTACTAACACTTGATTAACACATCATCTACTTAACCCTAAGACAGCTGCTGAAGAATATCACCAATGACAAAAGTAACAAATTGATATATTAATAACTAGTAGTGATTCTTCTGTTTTAGTCAGATTGTCCCAGCTCTCTCTACCCCAAATAAAATTTTTTTTCTGGACATCTGATTTTTGTTCATTGCTAGTAGAAACTTTAGCCAGTTGCAATAAATATGATTCTCAGATGAAAAAGACATTGAGATTTTAGTCTCTACTCTCTCCAAAGGTCCCAGGTTCCTGTTGTTATCTTTGGCCAGACTATCTTAATCAGTATTTAAGGTCAATTCTTCTTCTTTAAAAAAAGAAAATCAAAATGACAAGATTGCTATTATATTACCCAGAAACATATTCATAGGCCACAATTATGATCATAAGATAGATAAATAAAACAAGGCAAGATACTTTGGTCTTGCCAAATATCCAACCTGGCAATTTATTAAACTATTAGATGACCAGGCTGACAAGTCAGAAGTTGGGAAAACTTGATCTTATAGATCAAGAACTACTATTCCTAGACAATGAGAGATGTAAATAAATAAAAAATATTCACCACATTTAGGGGGAAGAGAAGCCAGAAGTTACCTGAGCCCCTCTTCATCATGAATACTTTAGTTTCACCCTACTTTAGTTTTAACTACTTATAGAGAGTAGGAATATAAACTCTAATTCTCCTTACATATTATGTTTTGCCATTTCCATTTAATCACATTTCAACTTTCATAAAAAATATAAAACTGCAATTGAACATCAAAATGTAATATTAAACTTTTGCTTGCCAAGACAAAAAGAAACAATGATTGTATAGCTCCTATTTTTAAATTTTAAAATAAACATAATTTTTTATCCTTCTAAATTGCATTCAATTTTATAAAAGTGAGAAGTTGAAAGATTGGGTAATTACCATAGAATGAAAGGATACCTTGAAAAATTACAAGTTTGAGAGACAGGGCAATGACGAATCAGAGAGACTTCCTTACGGTTCAGAAATGTATACAGCCGAGGCCTCATTTCACAGCCTATAGGAAGAAAGGACAAGATTAGACTTTGAGTCCCATTTAAGTATTTTAGTCTTCCCTGCCCAGAAGAGTATTTTCTATCTGACAACATCTTTAGTCATCAAGAGTCTTATTTTAGGTGTTGTTCTCTAGGATCTTTTGTTTGTGAGAAGCAGAGAAGACAGAGTTGGGAGGTAAATCTCATCAAGTATTAAAGACTGTTTTGGGGCAGGACTCCAGCTTTCACAACTGGGACTTAAAGTACAGACTGATAGCCAAGTCATTCTTCTTGGTGAGAGTGGGATTAAATTAACTCCAGCAGCTCAATGGTAACTATTCTCAAGTTTGAAAAGCACTCATATTAAATTGCAAGTATATAAGCTTCTCATCTAATGAAAGAAAAAAGTTCATAAAGGAGCTTCAATTGACTTTTTATTTTCCACAGAGTAAAAAGAAAGACTACCATATAGACAAATAAATTCCATAAATCTACATGGAATGTAGAACACTTAGCAGTCACAGGCATAGAGGGGAGCTAATGTGAGACCATTGCTATGATCTGGATTAGAGAGGTAAAGACTTGCTCTAAGGGGGATAGTAGACCAGGTTCGAGATATTCCAGCATTACAAATTTGAGATTTGTACTCAAATCACACTCCAGATATTGAATAACACAAACACTAATACAACTCCAAGGGAAACTCATATGTTATGTTATTAGATTATGTTTCCACTTTTTATGTTTACTTGGAATTGTATAAGAGGTAGATATCCTCCTTGAAGCAGGCAGAAAAAAGAGCTTTTGACTTTGTCTCACTTTACTGATACTTCATAGTTTACAAGGGTAAAGGTGAAGCCACAGACTATATGATTTTTATGTGAACTTGGCCACTTTAAGAACTGAGTATAAAAGAGGCCCTAAAACCTTGCTTTAAACATTTTAGAAATTTTCTATTGTCCTCAGGATATAATATAGGTTCCTTCATCAGGTTCAAAAGATCAAGTCTTCATCTTGTATTCTTAAGCTCAGTTATACTCCATTTTTTTTCATAGCTACATGTTGTCAATTGCTTCTAAACCTTTGCATATGTAGTTTTCTCTCCCTAGGGGATTCTTTGCCTTTCATGACTGGGTTAACCAATTTTCCAAGACTTATCTTAAGAACCATCACCTAGGAGAAAAATTTATGAATCCTCCCTGCCAAGTGACTCACCTAATTATTCTATAACATCACTTTATCACTCAGAAGTGTAGTTGCCTATTTAGGTATCCATACTCTTGAGTGTTCCTTTAGGCTATAAGCTTCATAAAGATTAAGATGCAGTTTTCT